AGATAGGCAAGATGTGAAAAGAAGAAAAAGGCATGAGAGAAACATTGCTTTACAAACCTTAAGACTTAATAAAAAGAATTTTGTGTATGAAAACATTTCATTAACATTCGCTTACTAATTTAAAAGTTATTGCATGAAAACTATAACAAGCACAAAATGGCTATGAGGTCAGTCCCAGGGATTGAGTCTGGGTTGAAAGAGTTAATTAAGATAAGGTTGGAATTTTCGGAACTTAAAACAAAACTGGAGGGAAGTTAAATTTTGTTCAGGTATAGTTATTCAATACAAATACATATGAAAGTATAATGAAACAGTGCTTTATGGTCAACCCTGTGTGCAGAGGTGAGGGTATGTGCACAGGCCATGATCTTTCACAGGATGGTATTGTATATTTGATGTTAAATTTATCAACTATACATTTTACCCTATATTGCTGACTTAGCAACATTTTGTGGTGGAGGAGAGTTAGTAGCACATACATTATAGAGTGATAGTGAAAGCTCTAAATATACATCTTGGAAGTTTCAGAGCTTATGCAAATGCAATCTGCAAATTGAACAATGGTCAAAACTATTTTTATTCTCTACATGAACATTACCTGCATTTTGACTTCTCAGTTTTGAGTCCAGCTGACATTGTCAATTCACAGACATATTTTGATTACAGATACTTTTGTACACATCTGATTGTTTGTGTACAAGTGACTTGTTAATTACTAAAAGCATGGCACATTTTGTATAGATACAGATAGTAAATTTAGAATTATGATACAGGGTCATATTTGCATATTTGGTTAAAGGAAATTCATTTTACTGGTTTGATTAGTGATACAGTTGATAAATCTTTGCAAGAAAACTGTTACTTATTTTCAACATTAATATTATTGTATTGGTATGAAATGTATGGTTCTTTGCCAAATTTCAGTTAATACCTGGAGGGACACAATTTTACACACATGTGCACACACACACGCACACACAGATATATGTTTATATATATACATATATGAGTACATTATATTCTACAGGCCTTTATACTTGATTGCTGAACAAATTTTATCATCAGTGGAATGTGCTCTCGTACGCCTCCCCTAATTTGTACTAGTTTTACAGGAAGGTGTTTTATTAATATGTAAATTCCGTGCTGGAATGAGTTTCCTCCTATTTTTACAGGAAGGTGTTTTATTAATATGTAAATTCCGTGCTGGAATGAGTTTCCTCCTATTTTTACAGGAAGGTGTTTTATTAATATGTAAATTCCGTGCTGGAATGAGTTTCCTCTCCTGCTTCATTGTAATTCTGTATACCATTGTTCTCTACATGTAAATACACAAAACACAGAGTTGGAAAACTTGCTTGGACCTGCATTTACATGTCTGTAAAAGTAACATGTTCAAGTACTGTCTAGATTAGATATTATTTTGGTTGGATATGTAATTCTGGTGTCCCTGTGAAGTATGTATTATTTGTTTAGTGTTCCATTGCACTTTAAGATCAAAATCTGCCTTGTGTCTTACCCTTGCATTACATAAACTGGAACAAAATGAATGGACCATCTTTTATCAAAAAGTGAAAGACTTCCTATAAAAATACCCAAAGGTGTTTTAAGATTTGAAGTCTATTTTTCTGTTTTGTTTGTCGTGATTGTTTTTTATCAACTGAGATTTATTTTTTACTGCAGGCTGGTTGCTAGACAAAATGATGACACTGATGTTTGAGCTGTTCATGCAACATGGGTCTAAGAATTTTTTAATTGTCCATAATTTGTATGATTATCTTGTTACTGATCATTGCTGAGTGAATTTTGTTACCAGTCTTGGGACTACTACTACTAAGTGCAATGTAAATTTTTCTAACTGCTTTGCAGTTATTTTGTACATTAATTGCTATTATTTAAAAATTTTAAAAATATATTAGCTCTGGTATAATTGATAGTAGAACCAAAGAAATAACAGAAAAAGTTAAAATTACAGCACATTTAAGAATATGAAGTTCTAATTGTCAGCACCTTTTTTCTACAGATTATACCACCCAAAGAATGGTGTCCTCGCAAAGCTGGTTATGATGACATTGACCTAATTATTCCTGCTCCAATCACTCAAGTTGTTAATGGATGCCAAGGGTTGTATCAGCAGTACAACATTCAGAGAAAAGCCATGACAGTTATGGAATTTAAAAAGTTAGCAGAAAGTGACAAGTAAGTAAATTTTATTGTGTTTAACCCGATGACTACCAGCTACTAACTTTCTTAGT